TTCGATTTTCTTGAAAACAGAGATCTACATATATGAAAAAAATTTATTATATATTGTTTGCTTACTTTTACATGAGAAATTCTCTCTTTCCCGCGATTGTACCACGATTTCTGAAACATCCTATATATTTAGAAACAAATATGCTGAAGTGTAAATAAATTCTAATTCTATTTAGAAATTAACATTTAACATATATGTGAATAAATCAAAGAATGTATAAAATAAATTTCAAAATTATTCTTATATCTTATTATTTATCTTCTTACATCTTATTATTTTATTATCTTATTTTTATTATCTATTTAAACTCTTTTTTATTCTTCTCTTATCGCTTTGAGTAAAATATACTCATTTTTTTATACATTCTTATTGTTGTTTGTAAAGGCTTAAAATAAAGTTAAAACAATTTGTGAATTCCTCAATTCTTTTTTAATTTGTGTTATGCACACAATAAGTTTAATATTAAAGTTTAATATTTTCTATCTACATCTCAACCATTGTCTGTGGAATTATTTGGATTAAATACAGATGTATATGTATACATACACACACACACACACACACACACACACACACACACACACACACACCCACCCACACACGCACACACACACACATACACATACATCTGCATTTATATATATACTGAATAAATAAATTCTTCAATTTTCTGATACATATATTAAATAATAAATATTAATAAATACTTAAACGTACTTTACGGTTCGCTTATCATTCAATATTAATTAGGCAGTGATATATTGCAATATTGGTTTTAACCACGTTTTATATGCGGCGTCGATGCATAGGGAGTGCGTATTATTCAAGAGACTTTTATTAAGCCGGCCAAGGCCGAAAGCTCACTGCGGAGCCCGTATCCGGGGAAGTCGACGAGAGGAAGGCGTGTACCACTTCATGCGAGCGTACGAAAGGGCCGTCTTCTTATAACCATAAATATCATGTATAAATGCATATAACGCGATGCTCCATAAATCCGACGCCGTCCGCCGACCGAAAAACGAGCCTACATTTACCACGAAGGGCGTTTGTAATTAAACGCTCTGTCCCAATCCGCATTATTAGCAATATAAGTACTCTCGTCCTTGGCTTTTCCAGCAGATCCAGAGACTCACGACTGTCGGGTGAGCCGCGTAATTAGAGTTACCAGCCGTGTTCTTTTAAGAGTATACGTGTATTCCTTTTTTCAGACCGTTGAGAATTTCTTGGTCATTAATTAAAATTTTATAATATATATTAAATAAAGTATCTTTTAAGACTGTAATGTGAACATACAACTAGAAAAGTTTAAGACTTTTATTTCCTAATTGTTATAAAGCTTTAACAAATTATATTAATAAGAATTGTCAATAAATAAAATTATATTGCTATAGAAATTTTGTCTTATTATAAATTTAACATATAAAAAAATTATACCCTTTCTTTCTGCCTTCGAATTATCTTTTTTTTTTAAAATATACATAGGTATTCTTTTCTTGCGATTCAGATATTGGAAACAAAAAAATCAAGAAAACCCTTAACTTTTTCAAGCTTTTCTCGCTTGAGAAATTGAGGAACAGTTCTTCACGGTTCTCGACGTATCGATTCGTAGGACGACTCGATGGCATGTTTGACGTCCTTTCATACAATAAAATCCTTGGGGACGGCGGGGAGGATAGGAAGAAAGAAAGGGGGGTAAGGGGGCCCGCGTGTCTACGCGCGCTCACAACGAGCTAACGATATTTATTATACGTCGGCGATGAATTATGGACCGTTAAGGTCCGCCATCGTGACGGGACGGAACGGGACGAGACCGGGACCCTTCGGGCCCGCAGCGAGCTGCGAGTTGCGAGCCGGGCATCGCCACTGTGCGGACTGCGCCCCGGAGGAAAAACGCGCAGGACGGAGCTCGTACGGCTTCGCGCCGCGCGAAATGAAATATTTATTCCATTACGAGACGCGGCACAGCCCGTATTGTAATGCGCTAAACCATAGCTGCACTTTCGCGGCCCGCCGTCCATCGGCGAGTCGGGTTATCGCGATATGCGTCCGCGAATATAGCGGCCGCAAGAGAGACTGCCTTTGCTCGATTATCGCGCTGATTTCTATTCCGAGGTGCGTTCGCCATGATGCTCTTCTCCCGCTTCACGCGCGCTGTTGTTCACGTTTGCTGTTGTTCATTTTTTAATTTCTTTCAAACTCTTCATAAATTATAGCCACAATGTATAAAAAGAGGCCAACGCAAGTACCGAGTTGCAGGGGTCGGTGTACAAACGAATTAATGGAAGCAATAAAATGTTAAAAAAAAAAGAAAAAGAAATTGCAAGATCTCTAAAGAAAAAGAGATGTGTCGCATTATCTGCCGATAGCGTGCGTGATAGATGGCTCATTATGACAAGCGGAGATTAACAAGATTTGATAAAGCGTTATAAGAAGTGATTACACGATCTAAACTCTATAATGATCATGTAATTTTTTTTCTAAAGTGAAAACATGAAAAATCAAGATTTTTATCATTTCTTTACAGAAATTGAATACTAGCTACTAAAAGACAGTAATTAATTACTGATTTTAAATATTAACGCTGTTGTTCAGTTCTTTTAATACTCCAAATAAGTAATTAATTACTGTCTTTCGGTTATAAATTCGTCAGTATTAAATTTCTGTAAGGATTGTAGACATGGAGAAATTTTTCACTTTTCACGTTTCCGCTTAAAAAGTCAATTAATCGCACCTTGAATTAGTCTACTCTAGAAAATAAAAATCAGAAATCAGATATAAGAGGAGAGTAACAGAAGCATAAACAAAGCTTCTTTAAAAAGCGAAAATTGAGACAACGAAACGTAAATTTCTGTAAGGATTGTAGACATGGAGAAATTTTTCACTTTTCACGTTTCCGCTTAAAAAGTCAATTAATCGCACCTTGAATTAGTCTACTCTAGAAAATAAAAATCAGAAATCAGATATAAGAGGAGAGTAACAGAAGCATAAACAAAGCTTCTTTAAAAAGCGAAAATTGAGACAACGAAACGTAAAAGAAGCATAAATACCTCTTATATTTCGTTTCCTGCAATTTGATCTGCGTTGGCCACTCTCTGTATATTGTGTCTATAAAAATTACTTTATTTTTGCCAAGATATGCCTAGTTCATGCTTCGGTCTTAATTCTAAAATCCTAAAATTCAGCCAATGTAATACAGATTTCAGTTAGGATTCCAATTAAGACTGGCAGCCCTATTATTCTTGCGATAAGAGGCAATATCTCACGATCGCGGGTCATCTTCGAGTCAAATAGTTCTGAAACAAATGGCTTATTCGTGAAGTTCACCAGCCACGCTTTGGCTTTCATAATGAAGGAAAACCTTCAACCCATCCTTCCGTTTCTTCGCGACTCCACTCTACCCGTGGGAAAGCCCGCTTGGACGACGAGGCCGTTTAACAGTCCCCTGGTAACGGTAACGGAGTCGCGGCGACGCCAGGAATCGTGAAAAATCGCGCGCTTCGAACCTTCGCGAGCAAGCACGCGCGCGCGCGGTTAATGACGAAGAAACGGGTCCCGCGGAGTCCCGTAGTCGATTTTCGTCGAAAACCGGCTTCGAGACTTGTTCCCGGTCGTCTCTCACGCGGTTACGCCCGTCCCGTCGAATTGCGCGTACATAATCCGCCTCACCGCGCGTCAAATCGCACGTTTACTGTTACGACGATCTATGAGAAATATATAGCGATTAGACGTCCAGCTGGCAATTTCCCGGATATATGTCTTGCTCGCGTCAAGCATAATTTATGGGATTCCCGAAATTAATGACACCCGCGATGCCTTCACTCGGTTAATGATTTTTGTACAGCGTAACAAGTTGTTAGACTCATGCACTCATGGTGGACTCATGGTGAATTCATCCATGGAACCGGGATAAGTTAATTAAAAGTCAAATGTTAATTTAAATGAATTAATCATGATTAAGAGTTGGATTTTTGTCCCTTCAACGACGAGGTTAACCATGTTGTATCACGAGTATGGCATTCCTGAAAATCCTGCTTGAGGATTTATTGACGTTCAATACCGGCTTCTTGCCGGAATTAGTTGGAATTGATATCGTTCTTGCGCTGCTTGATGCGTAATCGTTCAAATGAATAGCGACCACTGGAGGTCCGTTTGACACTCACATGCTTGCGAGGATTTGTCCTTGTTTAACATTTGGTAAATAACAAGAAAACGATTCCATGAGCCTTTTATATCAAGTAGAATGTATCCTGAAAAATCTATATGATTCTCATCATTATATCCATGTATATAGTAGAATTTCTATTAATCCATTATTACATTCATAATATCAAATTATACACGGAAATGATTTTGTCAAAGTATTTAAAAATTTAGATAGCTTTGAAAATAATTTTGTACTATCAAAATAATTATGTAAAAATTTCAAGCATAATGAGCGATGCTGCATAAAGCTTTGACATTTTAGTAACCAGTTTCAGCGTCCTATATGTATAATTATTTGGATAGTCCAACAAAATTATTTTCAAATTTGTAATTATAGCTAAATTTTTAGAAGTTTGAGCAAAATTTCCTTTCTGTATCTAATATTATAGAGTTATTTTTAATTATTTCTATAGATCGTCACTTGCTCTTACTCATTATTGTGTTAATCTAATTAAAACAATTGAAATAAATAATTCAAAAGAATATATTTTTGACTGAAATAGTTATTTACTAAACGTATGTTAATATGAACATTGTTTAAGTTAAAACTAATCACAAAAATGGATTGATTTACATTTTAACTCACAAAAAAAAATGAAAATTAGAAATAACAAAATATTATTTATTTCAGGGGATTATCATGCTCTTTCATATGTAACAATGTATTTACGACATGCTAGTTGGACGACATTCTTCGGATCTATTTAATCTATGACGCAATGTGATTAACTCACGTGTGATAAACAGAAACGAGTTTCTATCGAATGCGATGGAAATATTGAGATTCAGTCGACATCATGGAGAGTCTGAGCGAAGGTGATAAGGCTGTCTTGAAGACGATCTTCGATCCGTTTCAATCGCTCGGTCCGTCTGATTTTTTAGACTTCTCGGTTTTCCAGAAAATTGGTACGTAGCTAATGATAATATAATACAGTACACGGAAAATTAATGTTATGTTAACAGTATTATTTAATTGCAATCTAATTGAAAACTATTATTAATATATTATTGATTGTTATAATATATTATTGTATATAATATATTATTGATTGTTTTCCTCCAATTTTTTATTAATATTTGAGAATAATATAGATATAGATATAGATTTATAGATATAGATATAGATAATATGGATATAGATTTTATTATCAATTTTCTGAAAAAAAAGTGGAAATCATCACACACACACAAATATTAAACAAAATATGTGAAATAGTTTATTATCATAGACTAAAAATAAAGATTTTAATTAATATAACGTTTTTTTCCTCCAAATTTTACAATTCATATTTTTTCGCCGTTGAGCTATAAAAATATCTGAAGTTTATTAAAACAAGAGCATGGCGTATTTGTTTTATTAACTGTTATCGAATTGACAATAAGATATTTTCGATTTGATTGCTGTCGGCAAAATAATGTTATTAATACATCATTTTTTTCCGCAATTATTAAGAGCATATCTATCAGAATGTTTAAAATGACAAACTTTCTTTTTACGATATTATAGATAGTAATAAAGTTATTATTATTTATAATCAGTCAAAAAATACGAATTAGAATTTCTTTATAAATTTTAAGTGCAATTTAATCTTGAAAAATATATTGTCTACGGTCCTTTTTAATTCTTCTCTGTCAAGCGATTTAAAGATTTCCAAGATTTCCATTCAATCTTAATGACGATGTAGTCGAGACACTTGTTACACTAGTTGGACACGATTCAAACCGCAGACTTCTCAGATCGCTCGAAAAATCTGCGAACGCTTAAAGCGTTACCCTGCGGGTAACCGCATTCGTCTGAAGCGAAGTTTACTTCGGCGCGAGCCATTCTCACGCGAGACATTCAGATCATCATGAATATGCAAGAAACTGCACGATGTGAGAACAGATAAAGTTTCTTGTTGTTGTATCTTCAAGGCTACGGTTTGCAGAGTGAATAAAATTATATGGAAAATTTTACATTGTCATTCAATTTCTTATAAACTGCAGTGTGTCATATCGAAATAAACATAGATATACAATAATTATGTAATATTCATATTGCACAATTTCTCTTAAAAATAGCTACATGTATTCTTTATATTAATTAATTTAGCTAATTATTTTGTAAAAGTAATAAAAGAAAGTCGAGGAAAATTAATATTTCATGAGTTAAGTATTTAGATATTTGGGTTGTGACATGTAAACAATAATTATTTTTATGTCTGCAATTAAAATAGACAAAATTCCATTGTCAATATATTATTATATAGAATGATTAGAAAAATCATATTATGTAAGAAAAATTATATGGTTTCATTAAAAAAATATAGATAATATTAATGTTTTACTACAACGTATAAAAAAATTCTTACGTTATATTTCCATGATAAAACTGTGAAATTTTTTTAGGTATTTTCTTCTGAAATGGGAAACAATTAAAATATTTGGAGTGTCAATTATAGATATTTTTCTATGTACGCTATACGTAATACACACATCTTTTTTAATATTTCATTAAGAAGAGACGGATGTCTTCGAGGAGGATCGCTTAGAACCGGATGTTCTGGACATCATAAAGAAGGCGATAATCTGCGCGGAAGCGAAGAACTTCGACGAATGCTTTCGACTTTTCGACCAAGCATTGAAGAAGGCACCTAAATCGCCGTCAATCTTAAACGACAGAGCGCAAGCTTTACGTTTGGCGAATCGACACGAAGGTATTTTTAATTGCAAAAATGAATATCTACAAATTTTTAGAGAAGAGGATTGTAACGCTTGATTATCACTCAAACTTATTATTTAGAGGCGTTAAAGGATCTGCATCTAGCGGTTGAACTGAGCGAAGGCAAAGGAAGGGCAAGCATCCAAGCACTCTGTCAACGTGGTGCACTTTATCGTTGGATGGAGCAAGATGACAAGGCCAGGGAAGATTTCACCCGTGCGGCTAAGGCTGGTTCGAGCTTCGCTAAATCGCAGCTGGTCGCTCTGAATCCTTACGCGGCTATGTGCAACGCGATGCTACAGAAGATGACATTCAAAACCAATCAATTTTAATCTAATATGGGATTGTAGGTCAAGATAATGACCATTTAATATATAACGCTTTATTTTATTTTATTTTATTTCCATATAGATAAATTCACGAGCGGATCCACAAGACCTACAGATCCTGATAATCGTATAATAATAATCGTAAAAGTAATAATATAATAATAATAGTAATAATAACAATAATTATTGGAAATTTCGCATAAAAATATAAATTATCTGTATTAAACTCGGAATATACATTCATCTGTAAAATCGGATCTAATTTCTGCTAAAAAAGAACTCGCGCTAAATCGCCGAACAACGAAGAAAACGTCAAGTTCTGTACCCGTAAAGATTCCCTCTCTTCCAGCTAAATTAGTTTCTCCCTAGAACTAATTTAAAGATTATATCTAACGGAGAGAACTCGGTGCATATTAACTACATTGTCGGTAGACATTGATCGCATTGAGATAGATTGAAGACTTCGAACAGTACCATAATTTATTCAACGGAAATTGATAACGAAATTACACCTAATACGATTTCTTCATTGTACACACAAATGTTTATATAGATATTTATATATGTATAGAATAAAATATGCCTTATATCACGCTTATGCTTTTTTTTAGAGACAATACTTTACATTCACGTCAGTTACGGGAAATTCTGTTCATGCAAAAGTCACAAGCGATTTTTCCCACTCATTCATGATCGTATCCTTAAATGCAATAAATGTGGAGAATCTGCTACGGTCTGTTTCTTAGATTCGTGCATCGAATTCGACATTCGAATTAACCGCAAGCATATATCGATTTGAGTGATGATTAATGCGATAATTAATACAGCTGTTTGTCCCAGCAAACATGAAACTATCTACTTTTTTCTCAGTTTTCACGTTTTAAACCATAACGAAGTCTCGACTCGTATTAGATTTTTCGCTCTCCGAACCTTCCTCACTGCCATCTTCTCCTTCGGCTGAATCGGATGAAGTTTTCCTCTCTTCGCTAGGTAAAGCTAATTCCTCGTTAGATACTTCCGTTGCTACAGGTTCTTTCTCTTCTCTAAGAACATAAAAATATAGAATCAGCAATATGTATTATATTAAAATGTCTTAAATATGAATCTCAAAACTTACTGAACTAATGGCGCATCTTCGGAATCAGAATCTTTCTCTTTCCTTCTTTTCTTTTTGCTGCTCTTCTTATCGCCATCCGACGTAGGACCATAATATTCGTACTGTAAAGATTTTTGCATCATAAATTTAAATTAAATGTTTGTCATTGCCGATGAAGGAACGTAATCAAGTGTTAACCTGATATAATGGCCAGAAGGACGCAAAGAAGCCAACATCGGCTGTCAGATTAGGTAATAGCCATAGATGACATCTACCCAACGTGGGTACCCACAGAAGACAGAATACAATCATTCTAATGATAGCCAGTGCTAATATAAATACGAGAAATCCCGCAGCGGCGACACTTAAATAGTAAACTCCGTGACGGATAGTTAAGGGCCACAGTGGGAAGAGACAGACTCCTATTGCACCTAAGACTACAAGCGTACCAAAGAACCAATAATATACAGGAATCGGCTCGTATATCCACACATACGCGTCATTACAATCCACAAAGTATTGTTCCATGTGCATTTCTAGTCTCACCTGAAAATAAAATATGTTATTTACAAAAAGATAAAAGAAGAGAATTTTAGTGACACGAGTAAACGTTCACGCTTACTTTTGGCTTCTTCTTATGTTCCTTCCGTTCATCAATTTTCTCTTCGCCTTTCTCTTCCTTTTCCTTCACCACGATTGCATCTTTGTTTTCCTTGGAATCTTCTTTATCTATAGGTTTTTTGTCTTCTTTTGTAGTCTTCTTTTTAATACCCCGCATTTTATTAAGTTCTTCCTCTGATATCACCACCTTCTTGGCTCTGTGAAAGAACTTGTGCCTGAGCATCAGGTCCAAGAACTGGGAGACCTGCTCACGATTCTCGAACACCGTGCTCCAGGGTGAATTTTCCAATAGGGCATCGATTGCACGCGACCCAGTGAAGTACTCCACATTGTGAGTCCTATCAAACTTGGTTTTCTTCGACGGTACATTATTGCGGATCCACTTAGCTACTGCGTACTCTTCCTTGGACGGTTTGTCCTGAGCGCCTTTAGTATCCAGACTGGCTACTTCCTATTACAAAAACAATAGCAATGTTAGACAGTTCATGAAGAAAACTCCAGCAGGGAAAGGATGCAGGGAACGCCTCAAAGGCGTTCGCCTCAAATGTGAGCTGTAAATTCGCGATCGTCTGTAAATTCGTGTTCCATGACCCTGAACAAGAGAATCGTAGGAATCTCGAGATCTGTGTCTACGTCACTCGGATCAGCGCTTATCAGTGATGACAGGTTTCGCAAATCGACAGATTGAGAACGATCGCGTACGGTGATGCGAGTCGCGTTTAATGTCGACCGATCGTGACGTACAATTAGTGGGTCACATGCCGTTACGATTTCTCGTCCATATGCGACGCTTACATCTTTGCGCTTCCTATTTTTCCTGCGCTCCGCCATGCTGTAAATCCCGTGTCACGCTTGCGCGCACAGATCCACTGCTCACGCTGCCGGCCGCCGAAGCTGCTGCGAACTGGCATATGCCGTATGCAAACACCACGGATGTGTACCCGAAGCAAGCACCGTGGTGACCAATGATGGCACGCGGAAATGATCTCCGCGTTTACTTCTCTTCCTTTTCCTTACTACTCCTCCTTCTTTTCTTCTTTCGCCTCTTTTTACGAGTTATTCGTCCCTTTCGGGACACAGGACACCACCTGGTGTTTACTGATTTACTCCGATTCACAAACTGAGAATAGCAGGAGCGCCGGTCGAGAAGTTCAGTGGCGCATCTGAGAAGCTTCTAGAAAAAGGTCGTGAAATGACGTGATCAGTAATGGAATGTCAATGGACCATCGATGATCGAGGTATCGAGAGAAGGATAAAAATGATGGCATTGTTGATCATTTTGGGTTTTGATCACTCCGATTGAATGCAGTCTATCAAATCAAAAGCTGCATTCAGCAGAAACAGGTTTGCACCTGTAAGATTTTTTTAATATGATTTATGTAGATATTTAAATCTAATGGGGAACTAAGGATTGCTCTAGGAAAAGAACCTGTAATTATTAAAGAATTTTACACAGTTGCAAAACTGCTTTTTCTGCCAAACAATTGCCTATTTATTTACAATGTTTTCATTGTGATTTATGGATCATGATAAAAGATCGAGATATGAATAGTTCAAATAAAGAAAAATTAAACGAGAATAATACACATAAAAAATATGTGTATAATTTTTCAGAATATTTGAATAACTTTTCAGAAAATTTTCCAGATTTTTCAATATAAATTATTGAAACATTTTTTGAAAGTATCTTTATATATGTAAATTTTGAAATATTTCAAAATATCCAAGAGATTCTTTTACTTGAATTTTTGAAGTTTTTTCTCTCTTTCTCTTTAACTTGAAAAGAAAAAGAGAAGAGATGAACCGTGCATGAAATTCAGCTAAAAAAACTTTAACCTTAAAAATTTTGGAATACCTCACAATTCATATGTATAAAGAATTTATACATATTTATTTATTTTTTAGAAAAGACGTATAAATTTTATCGGCATTTTTGAAAAGTGTTTTAATTGAAAAAAGTCTGAGGATCGCCCAAGCAGAACAAGTTATTATGATATCAAAATGACTTCAGAATGATGATTAAAAGTCATTTTTCAATCATTTCCGTTTTATTTTACTGTCATTTTGACGTGACTTGTTGTTGTTCTGCTCGAGGAGTGTTCTAAAAACTTTTTTCAGAAATTCTATTAAAAAAGAACAAGCGCTCTTTATCTTAAACACGATGGCTCCAGCTGACACCAGCTGACACTGCTGACAGCGTAGTAACTTTAAACTCCTATAGAAAGCGTTGCTTTCGAAGCCGATTCTCATTCGCCTGCGGATCACCCGTCTACGTTACACGCGTTGGGGACGATCACGCTTTTGTTTGTCAGTGCTGTTCAGTACTGTTCCCGCTGGTGTGTTCGTGACTCGTGTGTTCCGTGTGTGAGCATCAGTGATCGTTGCGGGTAAACAAAGGCGGGTATATTCAGCGTGCACCATCGGAGTTTTATGTACGGCGTGAATATGCGCGAACGCGAAGAGTTATCGAGGTGTTTTCTACCGGGCCAGCCGGCCCAGATCTCGCTGCCACCGCCGCCGCCGTCGCCACGAGCTCCAGGCTTGGACGCCTTGCACAGTCTCTGCAAGCAGATCTACCCGGACCAGAGCAATCCGCTGACAGTCACGGCGATCGTGAAATATTGGTAAGAACCCGGCAACGGCGACGACGCCGAAGAATGTCTCGAAGGAGACTTGTTCGTTTTGCCGAAAGTCACAGGTGGCTTGGATATTTGACGTGGCGATTGATGTTCTGTTAAATAGTCGATTAATTAATTTTGTGTCTTTTTGAAGCCTTTTAGCTTCTTAATTATTTTCTTAATTGCATTTATTGTGCTATTAATTTTATTTTATCTGATTGTGCATAATTCTCTCTATTATTGATATTTTATGATCGGGTAGAATGATAGAATTTCCTGCAAAGCGTTGTATCAATTTTCTTATCGAGTCAATGCACTGAAATTGCTTTAAATCGTATGAGAGATACGCTTCTCTGAGAAACATAGGAACTCAATTTTTCCACTCTTCCCTCGCGAGAAAAAGCGATTACAACGACTATATTTAGCCTCCCCTTTTACATACATAAAACCGGATATCCTGTCAGCTGACTTGAGTTTTCCCTTTAGGTTAGGAGGACCTGATCCCCTCGACTATATCAGTATGTACGCCAATTCAGGATATCCCGATCTCGGAGTACCTCCACATTGGCATTATATCAGGTAAGAATATGTTTACACTAGTGTCAAATTAAAAATCTATTATCAGGATATTCCAGTCTGTGCGGACTCATCTAGAATCTAAAAACCTGGAGCAAACAATTTATTGCCATAATTTTATTTAAAATTTAACTAAGGATTATAAGAAATAACCTTATAAAAATTTACAATTCTGTTATCATATGAACAGCAATTTTTGAGTTAATGAATTGTATTTATAAAATGAATTTTGAACATTTTAGAGTTTAGAATGTTTTCTTCTCTTGTTTCTGATTTGAAAATAGGAAAATATTAAATTTTTGTAATTATAACTTTTAATCATAAATTTCAGGAAGTTAAACTTCCAAATCTTCCTCTTGAATTCTATAGAACAAGATGACTTGGAAAAGATTTTTCTTCTTTATTTATTTTTAAGTGCAGGGGAAGTCCCATTTTGGTCTCAATTAGGGAGTAAAAGGGGATTATATTCTTTGAAACTTAGACTGTCTAAAATTGAAGTACCTCATATAACAGTTTTTAACGTCAGATTTTTATTTTTCTACTTAGGATTTTAGACTCAGTTTCATAACTCATGATTAACTCTTAACCGAGGTTTAACTTAAGAGTTAAACTTAAGATTTAACTTAAGAAGCAACTTTTTCATTTCTTTCTGATGCTAAAATTGGAAAGAGAAATAAGTTGTACCTCAAGTAAGTGTTAATCATGAGTTGTAAAACTGAATCTTAATATATTATTTAGGATGCGCTTGTATGAAATAAGAGATAATTTAAGACTTGCATGTTTGTTAAGTTTAAGTGAATACAAACTATGGCAGATGCGCGATATATAGATGCTACCGTTTCATTCCGATGTTTCATTGGAATTTGTGTGCGGAATGACGAATGATCTTCCGCCAAAGGGTGCGGGTTCCTTTCCCTTTTTTCTTCGCGCCGGCGACCCTCGCTTCTTCAATTTCAGACAGCTGTCCTAATACTACTCCGTGCTTCTCTATATATAGAGAGTGTGTAGGATGCAGGAGGAACAGTCGTTTAAATCGCGGGGAGTCGGAAATAGAAGCGCCGGACTTCCCCTTTTTCGTCTGCGCCGGCTAATTATACTTTGCCAAACTTTGACGGAAAGTCTACGTACTTTTTTGCATGCAAGATATCGTTGAGTCTTTCTTTTTTGCGCGTAATATTTTTTTAAATATTCCCTTCATTCGCTATTTGATTTTTATTACTATATTCAGAAATTATTTTTAAAAATAAGAGCATAACAAAAAAAACATAGCACAGAAACATTTATTTAACATTATACTTCGTTTATTTAAATACAGTTTAGGACTGTCCGATTTACACGGCGATGGCCGATTGCATCCTAAACCTGGCTCAGGCCGTGCCAGTGGATTTGGATTCGAGTTGACCTTTCGTCTGGCTCGTGAAAGGGGCGAGACGACGCCGCCCACGTGGCCGGCAAACGTGATGCAGCAATTGGCCAAATATGTTTTCAATTCTGGGAATACGTTGATGCCGGGCGACCATGTCTCTTGGCATGCTCCACTGGACGGTAGAAACGGTTGTATCACCCAGATTTTGATGGGACAAGACCCGCAGCTTCCGACGTCAATCTCGACACCCCACGGCAACGTATGTATAAAAGGCTCAAGCCCGTATTCCTAAAACATGATTTAATGATTTTCAGATTCATTTTAAGATTCTACAGATAAATAAAATTGATAACTTAACCATATTATATTTATTTAGCTCTAAATTGCGAATTAAATAAAAAATAAAAATAAAATCTGCCTTAAATAGAATCTGCCTTAAAATGAATTGCATCGTTGTGATCCTTCATTGTTGGAAATAGGTCTCGTTTGTTCAAATCGTCGGCGTTACTTCTGAGGAACTACAGGCAGCTCAACACTGGAACGGTTTGGGTGTAGTTAATCTATTAAGAAGTGCTAGAGGCTGTGGCCCGTGGTTAGTCACCGACATGAGAAGAATGCATTCTGCTATGGAGGATGATCCTTCCATAGCTGAGAAAATACAGTGTGGCATTGAGAGAGATGGATCAAATACTAGCGGTGTGTCCGCCAAATGTTGGTAAGTGATGACAATTGATTAATAGAATCAGGAATTTGAGTTTAAGACCATAGCCTTATGCCCGTATCAGATTAGAGATTGAGATTGAGATTGAATTTGATTTATCAAAGCAAAGTTTACTAAATTTGATTTTAATTTCATTTTTTTTTTATTAATTTCAATCTCAATCTCTAATCTAATACGAGATTCAATCTCAATCTCTAATCTAATATTATTTGTATGTAGGTGGGTGCAAATAACAAACGATAGAAGCATGGAGAGATATAGGGAGAAAAGGAACGATTCCGATGACGACGAGGACGTGAAGCCGATCGTGAAGACAGAGAGATTGTCGCCTTGTGAGCAGCAGGACGCCAATGTCTCTGACGAAAATAATATTAGAGCTTTGCCCGGATTACATCTAACGTTCAATCTTGAAGCTGGCTCGTTATTACCGTTGGCAATAAAGTTAGTCATGATAGAATTGAAATTCGTGCAGCAGAGCTGCAACAGCAACGTCCGATGAATAATGTAATATTGATATTGCAGGGGTCGTGTGATGCATGGGAGGCATTTCACATTCAAATCTATATTGTCTCACTCGGCTGTTACGATAGTTGCGCCGTCTGTTACGGGCACTTTTGTGTCCAAAGAGAAACCGTATGTCGTTCAAGGACCATGGCTGCAGGTACTTCTCTCGGAAGAATTGTCCGAGAAAATGGCCGAAGAGTTTCAAGTTCTGAACGCGCCAGATAAGGTAACAATGTGTAAGATTGCTTTAAAACGATGATAGGAAGTCTCCAAGCAAACGAAAATGGATTAAAATGGATTAAAATTTTTTCTATCCGAATGCGTATTTTAAATAGCGCATACTTTTTTTGGATTTAATTGGATTCAATTGGATTCAATTAGATTCAGTTGGATTCAATTGGATTGAAAAACTGCATCCTATTTATTTGTATTTCCTATTCAAAATTTTGAATTGAACAATTATGTTTATGTGCACAGAAAAAGCTAATATTATTTTTAAATTGAAAGACATAGAGACATGCTCCATGCAATTCCTAAATGAATAAAAATGCGTTCAGAATTGAAAAGCATTCATTTTAACATTCGGGAAAAAATTTCTGAAAATTTGAATCAATTTCAATTCATTTCAATCCATTCTCGTTTGCTGGACTTGTTTAATTATTTTGGAACAAATCGATATTGAGTATTGCTGAATGTTTTAATATATCTTATTTTAGATCCAATTGCCAAAGACATTTTCTTGGCCGGAACATAATTTAGTCATCACCATCATCAATGATTAAAACTGTCCAATGATGCAATCCATGAAGATTACTCTTCACTCTGATTAAATATATTTAAGTTAAAGATAGGACAATGAAAGTATTATCGAGCCTCATTGTAGGTCGAATCTTTTTATTTATAACTACGACGTTTCCCATGACTCTCTAGCGTAAGATTTTATAATTTATAAATGTTATCCTACGCATTTAAATGTTCATCAATGTGCGAAAGCAGAGATTTGCGCATGTTTCCAGATGTGTTTTTTTTTTACAAAAAAAAAAGCGATGTATTTTTCTATATATATATAAACGTTCCAACGTCTCTCTTTTACAAATTGATGCATACTTATATACATGAAAAATTTCTACAATGCTTGTTAGATTGTTTAACTTGACATATTGTTATATCAATGCAAAAATGATATGTAAAAAAGTGTTACAAGTTTTTTATATATACTTCACTATGTACATAATACGACGTAAATTGTATATGCTATTTTACGACGAAATTTGAGATGCGCCTTACATTGTTACATATAATAAACGTTTATGTAAATATATATCTTATAGAGATATTCGTATTTCACAAAGAAAATCTTACGTAATTATATCAATTTTTCTTTTATGTTGATCGATATCGCCTGTTATTTCGTTTCTTTGACCTCCTGCCCGTCTTTCTCTCGCGAAGACACGCATCCTGGCTGTGACTCCTTACCATCGAATTGTTATTATTGCCGCTTTGCGTCACGTGTTGCCCAAACATATTGAACAGCTTCGTGTGGGAATTCTGAAGTATCGATATGACATTGAAATCAATCACACGTATCAAAGCATTGAATGCGCACGGTCGTTTTTTACGAAAATAAGAAATCGCAGTACATATCATCAAGTTTGCAATCTTCAAATCACAGCAATAAGTCTATTTTTTCTGCATTCCGATGATTCTTATGATAAAATAATCTCGCCGTTGGGTAAGTTTTGTATTTATATGTAAAATATAAACAAAGAGCCGTTAAAAACGTCCGCGTTAAATGAATATTTAACGCGACGTTCTGTCGGATCAAAAACCAGATAATGCACCATGCGACCACGCGCGGATCTCTAAATCTTGATTGATATCAGTCGCAAGAGTAGTCTACAAAGTAGTTTACCTGGTTTTTGCACCGTAGTTTTCCCATGTCACACCGACGGCAGCGGTATTCCTTGCGAGACACGCGCACGAACGATTTAAAGCACTTCACCTTGTTTGACAATTCTAAAAAGCAGGGTACCACATTTGCAAGCGATCGCACAATATAATGATGGTAATAGGGAACAGTATCGGCCAAAATGAGACTTATTTTTAAGATATATTTTATCTTATAAAAAATTTTGATTGTTGCATAAACAGTAATTTAAATTAGAAAAGATTTTTCCTTTTTTTATTTTTTAAGTGCGGGAAGTCCCGTTTTGGCTTCGATTGGGAAATAAAATGGAATTACATTCTTTGAAACTTGGAGCGTTAAAAATTCAGGTATCTCAGATATAAGACATAAAAATAACAATTTTTTTATGTACTTTCTGTGGAGCTCAAAACTGATAAGTGCGATTGTTTACTAATTTGCGAGCGACTCTTAACCCTTCGGATTATCGGGTGCGAATCGTTGATTCGCCATTGTTGACAATAATAATTATCGCGAGATACTTGGTATGTACCCTCTTAAGAAGATTCATGAACATCTTAACGGCCCCGGTACACAAGGCAATGACAATGCAGGCAGAAGCAAAGTCCTCGACGTCATCGCAGCCGATGTTGCTAATGACATTAACGATTCCTCGAAAAACATTGGCAAAGGTCTGCATCGCGTCGATGCACAAATCTCGAATAAAGCAGATCACCTAAAAATCCAGTTATTTAATATTCTTACAGGTTCTCCTCAAATAGGATGTGTATATGAATATATATATCTTCTTATTGCATACTTCCGATTACTTGAAATGAATTAGAAAATGCGACTCTAATTCCAGACTCTAATTCCATTTTAAAAAGGTATTTTTATCTATTTAACCTTTGTTTTGAATTGATGGATATACAATCGTATTCACAATATATTTAAAATGTAATTATAAGTATAAGCGCATTATTGTCACCTGAAATATTAATTTCATCATCACGAGTACTAGTTCAACTAGCCTCGCTAAGCAATCAAATATGATGATCAGGATGAGTTCGATGGTCTCCCAGATCCAACAAGCGACTTGCCATAAAAGATTTACAAATTGATCGGAGATACTGGATATTTGGTTTTTCATGATCGGTCATTACTGTTAAGATTTATACTTTGCCATAAAAATTTCACGAATTAAAACTGAAGCAATCGTGTCAATCGTCCAAAATAATAGAGAAAGACAGAGAGAGTTAGAGGAGTAGGTGGTTAATTTGAATAAAACAAAAAGCAATGGAGCTTATTGCGCTGTCTGAAATTGTCTGCATATTTCTTACGAGAAAAAGGACAAAGATCGGGAGATGTGTTATTATATTTAAGATTATCTTAAGTAAGATACATTCTTAAGATAAGCCAATCACATTAATTAATATTTTTCAATATTAAGACAATCTTAAAATAAGAACAGATTATGAATAAGAGGATTCATTTAACAATTTCAAAATCTGTTTTATTGATATAAAGCAATATGAAGCTGTAATTACAATCAATATATCGCACATATATATATATATATATATATAAAGTGATAGCTAGAATAAATGGCGCGTGGATTGCTGCTTGAAAATAATGAGACTATAGCTTATTAATCAAAATCTGGCAGTATATTCACTATGTGGTCTGCTTAATTGTATTATAAGATTTAATGAGAAAGATCATCGTTAATAACCACTACAACGCACTCGCTGTTGTAATTTCTCAATGTCGTTCGTCGATTTCTTCTAATCCTGAATTCAGTGTTAATACTGAAAATCTATAATACTCATAACGTGTGCTATAGATTTTCAGTATTAACAATGAATTTTGTAACTCAAATCGGTCAGTTCTCGAAAAAACGTCTGATTGCACTCGCGTCGCGGAGTGTAAATGGATCACGCGAGTCCCGCGAGAATCGGCAACACAAGGACGATCAGCGGCGCGAGATTCCTCGACGACGCGTTGCACGCGTCCGCATCGCTGCAAGATTGCACACATCCGCGCACGTACCTACGAGATATTCGTGAATGTTTAAAAATGATAAATTTCGACTTCCAATATTTAGCTTGTCTTACTTGTCGTCGAAATAGAAACCACCGCAGTGGGACATTCTGATAATCTCGGAATCCGTTGTCAAGGTTCCGCTGTCCAATGCGCAACCCCTCACCATCAAGGTCACACCGGATTCATCTAAGCCGTCAAGTCAATTAAGATACAATTTAATATACTTATCAACACGAAATTCTCACAAAAATTTAATATTGAATTATAATAATTAATTATTTATTTTAAATATTAAAAGCAGTTTATAAAAAAGAAATAATTTCTAGTATTAAATAATAATAAAAATAATTAATTTAGTACAAAATAAGTAATTTCCAGTAATTTATTAAATTGGCCAAGTCAATGAATTGTCAATTTGATTAAGATGCAATGTTTAATGTACTTATCAATGTGAAATTCTCATTTCTTACACAGATTTAATACTAGAAGATATAAGTGATTAATTGCTAATTTTGGATTTAAATTGGATTTCTGTAAGAAACGATCGATTTTAACATAATAAAGATATAAAAAAAAAATGAATAAAAATAGTATATTATGTTACTTGGGTAACTTGGGTTTATTACCATATACGCCGGCAATCTTGAGACAAGCAGTCGCTGGGAAGAGGCCATCCCGGCCTTTCCTACCTCCTAAGCAGGGCGACTCCAAGAAAGCGCGGCTCCCATTGTTGTGAAATGGGTCATCGCAGGGTTTGTTGTCGCCATCGATCGAGACACACTTGAAACAGTCGATGGCCCACCCTGCAGAACAGGCAAGTTGCACTCGTAAAACGAAACGAAAAAGAGTGTGGTAAATAAAACTTGGCAACCCGACATCTCTTGTATTTGGAGAAATATCTCTCCAATGTTTTGTTCTAGATATAAAATTCTTGTCAATGATAAGAAGCAAGAGATAAGGATTTTTACATCAGGAAATTAAGAATGCAATAATATTATATACAACATATAAAATAATATTATATATAATAAATAATACTAAATAATACTATGGCAATCTAACATCTCTGTTTGGGACATATCTCGTTTACTCGAACGTTTTATTCTAGATACAAAATTTCATTTGTCAATGCTGTTATAAAATGTTATAAAATTCTTGAATGTGTTTATACATTTGGATCCAATGAGGAATTAAGGGCAAGACCAATTATATTAGAGAATTTTACAACAATTGAAAAGCTGCTTTTTCTGCTGAACGCCATTGATAGAAACGAATGTTAACGGGATGCTGAAGTGATCAAATTATCGACATTATAATCGTATAAAAATCTCCGAATTAACTGAGCAAAATAAAAAATTCTTTTACGGGATTAAAATAGATGCAATATTAAGAAAAATGGTGCAGTGATGCAGTGGATTTTATATTAAAAAAAGTATCGAAAAAAAGTTAAGTAAGTTTTTAACTTTTTTTTTATTTTAATATAAAGTCCACTGCATCACCTCCTAATTTTGCGTCTATTTTAATTCTGTAAAAGGATTTTTGATTCTGTTCAGTCAATTTGGAAATTTTTATACATAACATCGATAATTTGATCACTTCGACATCCCTTTAAGAATTTTTATATCATCAGGAAATGAAGAAATGATAAATAAAACTTGGCAATCTGACATCTCTCGTTTGGACGTTTTGTTTTAGAATCAAAATTTCACTTGCCATTGATAAGGAGCGAGTATTAAAGAATTTTTGTCGTCAGAGAATTTTTATGTCGAGGAGAGATCTGTGATCTACAAGATGGTCTCGAAGCTCGAGCGGCACCAAAGCAAGCTATTTTTATATATAAAACAGCACAAACTATACACATCGCGCGTTAACAACTTGTCCTCGAAAGCAATGTGTGCAATCCGATTATCGATCTTGTTCACGCGAGATTCGCAGATAGTCGTATCATTCTTTAGATCTCGTTATTAAGAAAGATTGCGATTGCTTATTTTCGGAAGATCGCAACTACTTCGGTATCTAATCGTCTACCGACCTCTTTGGAAGAAGGCGATAACGGTGAGCGCAAGACAAACGATCCGGGGATTCCCTACGTTCATGCTTCGGCGACCCGGAGGCGTTGGTTCCCGATGGAGTCGCACTCTCGTTGACGTCAGCTTCTACATCCCGGATTATGATGATATCGAGCGGATTTCACACCGGAGACCATCTCAGTCGCGAACCTGACGTTCTCCAATCGTTCCCAACTGATTGTCCAACGTCGTCGCGGTCGTCGTCGCAGTGTAGAATGATTCACAGGGCATCGAGTGACTGGCCGGACGGCTCTCTCGATCGCACTCCGTTGACGTTATTAACGTATACAATGTTTTGACGGCTGGTTGCCAAGGCAATTCACTGACTCGTTGTCGTACAGACCTCGATCTCGCCTTCGCCGAAGATTTGAGAGTGATCGATGGACTTTGGTCGAACGTCGTCGTCATCGCCAACCGACGGCAGTAGGTCCTCATCTGTCGTCGATCGCGAAATCGGGCTCGACTTGGTCTTTACACGCCATTCTGTGAACGCTCCTCGCATGATCCCACCCTGGGACACGTACATATGTGCGACACGCGAATAGTGGGTGCAGTTAGGATTTACGATAGTGAAAAAAAATATTAACGAAAGTATATAGATTCATGATTTTTTGTTCATTTATTTAGTTTTGTTCTTATTCAAATGATTTGTCTGCAGTGCGCTAAATATATTGTGACTTGATATCTTCAAGATGCTAGAAGAATCTAAGCCCTCATATGTTTCCATTTCTTTCGGTAAGACTAAGAGCTAAGATCAATCGAAAAGTGGAATATATGAAACAAATGTGCAGGAGATTTCATAGAATTTGAACATAAAATTAATGATGATTAATGATTTAAAAGAATGACGAATTCAAGGATAACTGAACAGATACGTCATTTGAAATAATTGAAAGAAATTTCATTCCTTAAAAGATGAGACTCAATCTATTACAGTCTTTAAAAAATTAAATTAAATATTTATATAAAGATTGTGTGCGGAAAGTCAATTAAATATCTATATTAGATCATAAATATACATTTAGATAAATAATTTTTTTAAGTCTTGTCCGAAGACGTGATAATATATAAGCTAAGATAATTTCTGAATTTTTAATCTAATTAATTTTGGATTCTCTCTCACGATCTAATGAATTTTTCAAAAACTTAACTTACTAATCGCAAGAAAATATTTTCGAGAACTTTACATTAAATAATGTAGCGTGTTTAACAGTATTTAACTTGATTGAAAATATTGGAAGGAAATTAGAAGTATTGGACAAAAAAATAAAATAAATTCAAAGCAGATTGAAATAATTTAATCAATAATTATATACTTATATTCTTATCAAATTATAATGCTAAGATTATTACTATGTTAATATCGATCATAGATGCTTGATGCATATTTTATTTAAAAAAGTTAGAAAAATAATATATTAATTATAAGTTAATACAATAACATAATTAATTAATTTCGAATCTGTATGTACTCAGCAAACACAAAATAGATATTTATATAACATATATATATAACTCATATAACTGTTATACAACATTATATATAATTGTTCTATTCTGTATTTGTATTGTTATATTCAAGAATTAGAAAGAGATGAAGAATAAGTTGAATTAATTAAGAGTTAACCGCAAGTTGTGGAACTGGGTGTAAGTCGAATTTCATTTTTATTTTCATCAATACAAAACAATATCTATTATTCTTTAAATACTGAGTTTAAAATCTTTTCTGTTTTATAAAGCTGCTCGTTTCGTTGTTTTTTCGTGAGTCATTCGGATAGTTGGATAATGAGATAGTGAGTTATATCGGACAATTGTGAACAGTCAGCGAGACTTCTGATGACTGTGTTTTGTTAGAAATAAATATGAGGAAGATAAAGTAGGACAAAGAGAATACGATATTATTATAGTTATTAAGGTATTAATTTCATTCATGTTGACGCTTGACGCTTATTTTTAGCGTTAAAATAAATCACGTTATTAAAATTACAATATAAGAATAAACTCTTACAATGTAAGAATAAACTCTTACCATGATTCTTCTATAGAATATTCTTATATCGTGATAAAAATTGATTATCAAGAATCAAGAATTGAATATCAAGAATCAATTTTGATGAAGCGACCTGTTTTGACGCCAAAAATAAGCCAAAAGATTATATCTTTATAAAATAATAAGAAAATGACAATAAGAGAGACGAATGAGCGGCTTTCTATTTTTGAAAAGTACTTATATTAGGAAATTGATTAAAAGCTATGAAAGCGGAACAAAAGATAGTTAAAATCATATGTATCGATAAGGGAACCTATCAGAAAACATAGTTTAAAAAAATATTTCTGTCTCATATCAACAATTCTATCTAATTTATAAGAACAAGATAATGACATTTAAAAATATAAAAATCTTGGTTATTTTCATTTTTAGAAAAATACAGTTAAACGAGCGATTATAAAGAGTGATTAAAAGAATATAAGAATAATGTTTCATATCATATATATTACACTTAGTAGGATTTTTCTAAGAAAATTAAATCTTGAAGAAATATGTTTTATATCACCTGATCTTCTCTTACATTGTAAGTATAAATTTAAATCAATGATATATAATAGTACAGCATTTAATAGTATGCTGTGAAATTATATATATTGGTATTATAAAAATTTCAATTATGTATTTGACGTTTAATACAATTAAAAGTTGTTTACGTTGCAATTTCATAAACATAAAGATTAAAGGGAACAGAAGGATAAAAATCAATAAAACTGCTAGCAAAACCCAGAGACTGAAGTATGAGTCTCAAGTTAGGATGCGCGAGGAGGATGTCCTCAGCGCCGCGGAAAAACGCCGCTAGTAGAATCCAACAGAACGAACACCTGCATCACATCGCGAGAGAATCAATTTCGGCGCTGCGGCACCGCACGCGCGCCGCCGCCGCGTCGCCGCGCC